GTTTAAAATAAATATATAGTATAACTTTGGTAATATATGTTGAAAATAATGGTTGGTAGGTGTTAACAAAGTATAAAATATGTCATCACAAATACAAAAAAATTGTAATAGTGTTCTGTATTGATATATTCGAATATTTGGAATTGGACTTTCCATTTACCAAAACAAGTGCTGTTTTTGGGCAGACTAAAACGGAAAAGGAAGGTGAAACAAAATGCAATAGGCGGTGCATATAAAAGAGGTGCAGTCTTCCCTTTTACATCCTGGGGTCCAATATCGCAAAAGGAAGTCCAGCCAAACAAGCAAAACTATAGATTATACAAGAGCAGAAGACCCCCATAGTGCTTCCTACAATCTCTGTTGCCAAAGTTGGGTTTGGTTTAAAATATAGGGAAAAGCAATGAAGGTAGAAGTCTACCAATGTATGAAAAGTGTTTGCAATGCTAGTTCATATAGACAATATGTCACCAGAAGTTGTTAACTCCAAAATAACATAGAAACCAAAGTGCCCCCCGCGTCACCGTGTTATAGGAAGTAACACCAAAGAAAACACTATCTTACTTTGGTTTCAGTTCTAATTCAACTCCTTCATAAATCAAGTTTTGCTTCACAACATTAGCCGCATCTTCCTCACTGGCGAACTCAACCAGAGCAGTGCCACAAAACATCCTTTTGTCAGCTACATGCCGAGGCAGCCTCACACTGTTAACCTAAAAGAAGAAGAAGATTAAAAAATCATTGAACAGGCAGGCACACATTTTACTATCTTGGATATATCTTTTTTCATGCAATACTATTTTGGATATCAATGCAAGCAATATCATGCGGAAAATTTTACAGTAGAAGGACGCAGAACAAATAAACTGTTCAATAGCCGCTGATCATGCGAACCAGTGTAGAAATGTTTTATTTTCTTAATCTACCTCATCCCAGCCCATCCCGCTCTTTTCCCTTTTCACGAAAGAGTAACCTGTTTAACAAATTTGGATAAAGATACCAAATTTCATCAAAGGTAAAACACTAACAAAGTAAGCAAGTGCAAAGTTACAGACATCACCTTGCCATGCTGACCAAAGAAGGACTCCACATCTTCAAGCTTGACACTGTATTCCAATGGGGATGCAGCAATCGTCCTAACATCTATTTGCTCTATAACCTCCTCGGGCTTCGAAAGCTCTGTGACTCTACCAACACATTTCCCTGTAACATAAATCAGCTCAAATCAGCCCATTTACTATTATGTCATTCAGTAGTGAGCTAAGAGAGCAACACACAAATTAGCAAAACCAAACAAAGACACCAACTTTGCAAGGGCAGCGCCACCTCAAGGCAAAATTATTTTAAAAAAACAAAGACACTTACCATCTTCCGAAATCTTAAGAAAAGAAGAAGCCTTTAGAGCTTCAGCAACAGCTTGTATAGTATCATCTGATATCTCTTCCTGCTTTGACGGCCCCAAACCCAAATGAGACCTCATCCGTGAAAACGAACATATCAAAGCTAAACTTACCACTATAAAGCTATAGTTAAGTACTACAATACATTTTGTCCACAAAAACATACAACAAAAACAATGCCTCGATGTCAATCTAGTTGGGTTTCCTAATCCCTAATATCTGTTTGGATCCATTCCATTCCATTCCAGTACCCAATATTCTGAGGATTCATTGAAAATTGACTAGTTTTGTTTTGCCCGTCAACCTACTACAACTCTCCTCCTTTATCTGGTTTGGCACCTCGGAGCTATCCAAAAGAAGCATACAATTCCATACTTAGGTGAGTTTATAAAACATACAAGTGCTTGTACATATACCTACTCTATCTCAAAAGACTTGCATAACATAATATCATCAACAACATTTTTCCAATGCCTAAACAATTCTACTAATATTTTTAATAATTTTTATTGTTAAAGAGTTCATATTTAGTACAATATCACATAAATCAAAGCTAAACTTCCCACTTGCGAGCCTTTAGAAGAACTACAACACATACAAGTCGTTGTGCATAAGCGTAACTTATTCACAAGATCAACAACATTATTTCAAGACCTTAAAAATTCTACTTAATTTTTTTCATCATTTATTTTGGTTAAAGATTGAATCTTTAGTACAAATGATAAATAAAAATCAATGTTGACTCATAAAAAAATAAAGTAAAAAAGGATACATCCATCTTCACTTTCATCCACAGTTTTCTTAAGAAACCCATCTTTTGGAAGATTACTATCACTGAAGTAAAACTCGACCTACAAAGAAGATGGTTATTTTTTAAAAAAAATCAGTTAGACGAAAAGGTGCTGCTGTTTTAAAGATATCAAAATCCCAGAAAGGCTAACCTGACGAATGACCTTCTTGATTGTTTCTTCGTTCAAAGTTTTGGCCATCGTTGTAAAAGGTTCTAGAGAAGAGAGAAGCAACGTCTAGGGTTTTGGGATTTGAGAAATAAGGGGTTTAGTTATCAAATGAACGACTTAAGTTGTTTTGTAGTTTTGTATATATAATAATAACTTGACCCGCAAAACCGGATGTTTATTAGGGCTATACATTGATCGGGTCCGGATCATAGCTACCTCTTCAACATTCTTTACAATTTCGAAGACCTCTCTTTTAAGTTTTAGCCTTAATAAGTTAGGAAATCTTACGGAAATATCACAAATAAGTCCCAACTTACCAACTCTTTAGCTATTAATCATAAATTTGTCAAAACTAGTCAAGTACATGTAAAAATTGAAAGTTCATATAAATAAGGATTCTTTTTCTCCAAGAATCACACATAAAGATCTCCTTCCATATATTTTAAGCATTATCAACAACCTTAGATGCAAGACAGAAAGGAAATTTCATGAATGAGGTAGCAAACAAGGTGATGAAATACAAATAAAATATACATACAAAATTCCAAAAATCTAAGTAAAAGGGACATTTTTCAATAGGTATGGTTGAAATTCATTGAATATATATAGATGACTCAATATACAAAATTTGAGGAAGATTGAAGGTGATTTGGACTGATTTGGTATTAAAATTCGTAGTTAAAATCGAGTTCAAAAAATTCTTTTACGACATATGTATCAAGCATGTATCACCCGTGTATCTCACACACAGGTATATATGGATATATATGTGATACACAAATGATATATAGTGTGATACACATATTATTTTTTTCTATGTTCATCTTCTACTTCGAATTTTAATTCAAAACCACTTGAAAACTCTACCAAATCACTCCAAAACTGAGATTTAAACTTCTTAAGATGTATTCAATCTATTCCAACAATACCTACTCAAAAGAAAGTAAAATATTTGACAAATATTTGGCTACAAATAGCTAATTGGCTAATATTGATAATATTTTATAAATTGGCTAATATTGATAATATTTTATAAATTAGCTAGTTTTTGTACTAACTTACTTATGGGCTGCATAGCTCGTAATTTTCCTATAAGTTATAACGTGGTTTCGGATATTGAACGAAACTTGTATAAATAATAATCTTTCAATAATGTCTCAAAAATACCCCTTAGTATTAATTATTAGATACTCCTAGTAGATTCGGTTAACCCGAGCTATATTTCGTTCAAGTTTTTAATACTCCTATGTTTGATTTTTTAGCTTCTAATACTTCTAGGTTTGTTTTTTTAAGCTTTAATTTAGATTCATGAGACGAATCAGACTACGGAAAAATTAAATTATATTCTAGAACCTAAAGAAATCACAAAAAATGATAAGTGCAAATCACTGGGTAAGCCCATGCTTTGGGTAGAGATGATACATTCGTTCAGAAAATGTACTTCCTACTTTGGCCTATAAATATTTTATATAAAAATGATCGAAAGAGAAAAAGTAAATATTACTTCTTCTTCTTTTTGAATAATTCATGTTCAAAAAAATTATATGGCCTGAATGTATGAAACAATATTTTATTCTCTGATGCTAACATATATTTAATTATAATAAATTATTAACAATTTTTTTGTACTTAAAATATTTATATGTAACTGAAAAAATTTACATCTAAAATTTAATATGTTTGAGTAGTAGCAACTATCAAGTTGTGTAGGTGACAAGAAAATAAATAAATAAATGCATCCAGTGAAAGATGGTGGGTGTGAGAATAGCTGAGTTGTTAGGAGTTAACTGTAGTTAACAGTTAATACTGTAGTTAGGGAGTTAGTGTTAGTTTGTTAACGAGAGTTAGTTATAACTAACTAATGGACATTAGTTATTAGTGAGGAGGTTAAGTTAGTAGATGTATATATACACGTGTAGATTTATTGCACAGTGTAATGAAATCATTTTTCAGCTCCACTCACATGCATAAATTCTCTCTCTAGAACCTTTATCTTCTCGCTAGGCAGCTAGCCCTAATTCTCCATTGTTGTGTTCTAAATCAAGCTCGAGCACACAAAAATTCACATGGTATCAGAGCGGGTGATGATTCTGCTTCTCGAAACTTCTATGTAGTTGAAATTCTACTCTAATTTGTCTTCGATTTTCAAAAAAAATCGTCAATTTTGTCGAAATCCTTCGAAATGAGTACCTCCAAATTAATCACACTCATCCATTGTATGTCCACCCTTCCGACACTCCTGCATATGTGTTGATTCCTATACAGCTTACAAGAGCAGAGAATTATGGATTGTGGAGGCGATCGATGCGAATTGTTCTTCAGGCTAAGAAGAAATTGGGATTTGTCATTGTTACTCGTAAAAAGAAGCCATTTGACAAAGAATTACATGAGGATTGGGAGACTTGCAATGCAATAGTGCTCTCATAGATCATGAACACTGTGTCTCAAAACCTACTTAGCGGAATTATTTATGCATCAAATGTGCATTTGGTTTGGGAAGATCTCCGGGAGAGATTTGATAAGGTGAGTCGAGTATGAATATTTCAGTTGCACATGGAGATTGCAACCATTACGTAGGGGACAAACTCTGTCTCAATGTATTTTATAAGGCTGAAGGAGCTTTGGGCTGAGTTTGGTATAATGGTGCCTTCACCAAATTGTAGATGTCCAAAGTCAAAGGAACAAGTCGATAATTTTCTTTAGCATAGACTAATGCAGTTTTTAAGTGGTCTTAATGATTCCTATAATCAGGAAAGGAGACAGATTCTTATGAAGTCAACTGAACCTTCTCTCAATCAGGCTTATGCCATGATAACTGAGTATGAGAGTCAGAGATCTGCATCTTATTCAGCTGCAGGAGAGAAGGGAGAACCTCTAGCTATGCAAGCAGGAAAAGGTCAACCTTACAAAGGAAAAAAATCCTTCATGAGATGTGACTATTATGGGTTGAAGGGACACCTGAAAGAAAATCATTACAAGCTCATGGGATATCCATCAGACTTTAAGAATAGAAAAAAGTTTGTAGCAAATAATGTGATGGGGAACGCTGGTAGAGAGAATGTAGCGCGAGAAAATGATGGAATCAATAGAGCTAGAATTCTGCAGGAACAACCTTATTTTATAGAAAAATAATACAAAGGGATATTGAGTATGCTAAACATAGAAAATGAAGGTGAAGACCAACATCATGCCAACATGGCAGGTATTGTAACCTCTCTTATGGATAATATAGGTAGTACTGAGTGGATAATTGATTCAAGCGCCTCACATCATATTAGTGGCAGTTTAGATGTACTAAATCACAAATTTAAATTGATTGTTGTCACGATGAACAAGTTCATCTACCTACTGGTGAAAAAGCAGGTATAACTTATATAGGAACTACAATCTTTCTGAGAGTTATGGAACTTAACAATGTATTGTATGTTCCTGAGTTCAAATTTATCCTATTGTTAGTATCCAAATTAACTAAGGCTCTCTCTTGCTCTGTGAACTTCTTTCCAGATTTTTACATATTTCAGGATCTTTACAGTGGCAAGGTGAGGGGGATTGGTAGATAGAGAGGTGCCATATATGTGATAAAGGACGATTTCAACAGAATAAAGGAAGTTGTCTGCAATGCAGTAGGTCAGAAGAATATTGAAGATGGAAGTTTGTGGCATAGGAGGCTAGGGCATGCGTATGTTAGTACTATGAAGAATGTAGAGTTCATTCGTATTAAGACTGTTGATATATTTGTAAATAATAATTGTCATATTAATGTAGGCTAGGGCATACCTATGTTAGTACTATAAAGAATGTAGAGTTCCTTCATATTAAGACTGTTGATGTGTCCATTAGCTAAGCAAAGTAGATTGATGTTTCCTAGAAGCAAATCTAGAAGCTCAAGTCCCTTGAATCTCCTGCCCATGGATGTTTGGGGACCTTATAAACATCCTACTCATGATAGAAAATACTTGTATTTTATTATTGTTGATGATAATTTTAGGTATACTTGGATTAAATTGCTTCAGTTGAAAAGTGATGTCATAGTAGTTGTAGAGAAATTTCTGTCAATGTTGTAGACACAGTATGCAAATGCAGTGAAAGTAATTAGAATTGATAATGAGACTGAATTCCTTAACAAACATATGGGTGGGTTGCTTGAAGGCTATGTGATTATTCAACAAAGTAGTTGTGTCTACACTCCACAATAAAATCGCATAGTGAAAAGAAAATATAGGCACATCCTTGACACATCTAGAGCCTTGAAGTTTCAAGCAAGTTTGCCTACCAAATTTTGTGGGGAAAGTGCGAAAACTGCAATTTATGTGATTAATCGACTACCAACTGAGCTGTTAGAAGGCAAAACACCATTTGAAATGTTACACAACAAATCACCATCACTGTCTCATCTTAAAGTTTTTGGTTGTTTGTGTTATGCAACCAATTTGGTTAAAGAGGATAAGTTTGCTCCTTGGGCCAGGGCCTCAGTCTTTCTGGAGTATTCAGAGACTCAAAAGGGGTACAAACTGATGGACATATCCACTAAATGTTTCTTTGTTTGCAGGGATGTTATGTTTAAGGAATACCTATTTCCATTTACGCAGGTTCCTACCAAATCAGTACCAGCAAAGGCACCTTTCCTTGTTCCTGACAAGGGGAGAGTGATAACATATCCTTATGAATAAGTACAAGGTACTGAACATGACACTCCAAACCATGATGTTGCTGACAATGCACTGAGACATGATGAGTCTGCAAATTCCATTCATGACACTACTGTGGTGGATCATAATGCTGATGTTGCTGAAACTGCATTATCAGAAGTTGAATTTAGTGCACAAGACACTAGTGACATTGCAGAACATGCAGATGATTAAGATGTTCCTATTGCAGCTGAAGATATAGTAGGACATGCAGATGATCAAGTTGTTACTATTGCACAACAGACTGATGCTGAAGCTGAAGACATTGCAGAACAGACAAATAATCAGGTTGTTACTAAGATAATTGCTATGGGTGACCTTATGGAACATGAGTCTCATACAATAAGGATGAAGCCAGAAAGACACACCAAATAGCCATTATAAATGCAGAACCATGTCACGAAGAAGAAGGCTAATATAGCTTTATATC